TGGGTATGCTTCTTTAATATTATTTCCGTTCAATATCCTTCTCACTAACTTCTCAACCCCTCGTCTCCAATGCTCTTGTTTAATGGAATTTGACTGAAAACCAATTACTCTACCACAATGCCCAAAAATAATTTTGATTTCATTTCCTGCTGTCCGGCACTTTTGTGGTCATCGCTGTTGCAACCAATGCAACATTTACAACAACAAATATAGCAGCAAAAGAAAGAAGAAATGAATAAATACCTTCACAACATGAGGTATCTACAAACAACCGATTGTTGCAACCAGGGGCACAAAGAGCCCACGTGGATTGGGCAATCGTTAAAGGTCAGTCAACATTTTTAGGGAGTTTTTCACTTTCCGTTTTTATTTTCTATTTTTATACCCTGTACACATCGATAGTGGGTAAGGGTATAATGTTGTATAATGTGCAAATGTGTGTAACAGACAGAAGGAAGCATCTCCAACCCGAAACAGAAACTAGAAATGCTAGAAATTGGAAATTTAAATTAAATATTATCTTTTACCGTATGAAAAAATGGGCTATCACATTCTTCTTCGATATCTTTTCCCATTTTGATAATATTGTTACTCGTCTATTGTGAGAGATGAGCTCGAAGATTTGAAGTGCTGGATACATAAGTTTTGGTATGTAGGATAGCGTTCCATATGTACAGAAATGTGTTTTTCTTCTCAATTTATATAACTTTCCTCTAAATTAAATAATAAAACTTATATTAGGGCTAGAGACTTGGTATATACACTCTTTTATATGCCGTATTTCAGACCTGAAAATTCCAGAAATATCGGACTATAAACTAAGAAGTTAATAAGGGGTGCATTATAGAGCGATTATAGCGATTATATATATATGTATGTGTGTGTGTGTTTCTGTATGTTTATATATATTGTTAAAAGCTAGAAAGTATTTAACGACAGCTTGGCGCTGTGCTCAGGGTATCTCCCAGTCGGGCAATCCCGACTAGAACATTCTTTTTTTATTTGGCTTAAAAACGCAAGCAGCGTGTGGTGTGGTCGCGGTAGGTGTGATAAATACTACAGGAAATACGAGAGCATGAGGATTTTTATAAAAAATAGAATTATGAGTATTAAAACAGAATTTGGTTCCAGTTTAAGAACCCGTTGCGAGCATCAAAAGGCGCCGACTTGAAGCGACCAGGTTTGAGAGTTTGGTGGGATTAGGGAGGAGTGCTGCGTTGTAGGGGGACGGGCTTAATACAGTTGTCAGTTGTTTTGTTGTTTCGCCAGCTGTTAATGAACATTCAACTGGCTAATTAATTTTATACATTTATTAAACTTTTGGCGCACGACAGGCGGTGGATGGGGCCGGGGAAGCAGCAGGACGACAGGATCTGGAACGGCTGCCGCCAAGCCACGAAACTATTTACCATACAAATCTAATTTTATCAACTTTGTCTTTTGCGTCCGCCCGGCCTTAACTAGCTACATGGCCGAGCTGTGGTCCCTGCTGCCGTCTGTGCCGCGCTATCCCTCTCTCTATCTTTGTCTCACTTTGCCTTTCTCTGCCACACTCTCTCACTCTTTCTCCCGCTCCCTTTAGCCTTTTGCTCTGTGTCAAAACATTGTGACACAGTTCTGCTTTCTTACAATTTGCGCCCGTTTCTATTTTCCTTGTGCATTTGTTACGGCTCGCGCCATTCTCTTGGCTCATTAACGTTGGCCTTTGTTTTGGCCCTGTCATCGGCGTCTGCGGGTCCTGTTGGCAGGACAGGAAGCAGTCGCCGTTTCAGTACTTTTTGTACTCTTCTAGGGAATATTATAATTTTGTCATTAAATGAATATCACATAGAAAATTATATCTCCAATCCCATAAGTATATATATTCTTCATCTAAAGTCCTGTTTGTATACAAACTAGTTACTCAGTTTTAAATCTATCGTTAGGAAAGTTTTTGTTTGGTGGATCGGAACGGTGCGTTCGAATATTAACTTCTTGTATAATATATTTGTTTTCCAAGATATTTATTTATTAATTTTATTATCATCGGATAAATAATTCATATAGCAGGCATTGGTCGGAATTTCAAGATGTCCCCACCAAACATCTCCCTACATAACTGCAAGCTGGTTAGCGATATTTCTGTAAGAGTATTTTATATTCGTTGTATCGCAGATAGATTGTTCTTGTTGTAATTTATAAATGTCCACAGTGCGAACTCGGCTTAGTCCTTCTCTCTATCTCTCTCCTTCTAGTATCGCTCTGTACTTGGGTTCGGCATGTAAATCAGGTCAAAACAATGCAACTGACAGTGAATTGTGCTTCGGTTGAGTTTCGTCCTGCCACAATGACACATTCAGGACTCTAGCACAGTTTACTTCATTATTGGTTACTCAGCAATTCATTCACAGAGGACACACCTTGTAGTTGGCCAGCACTTGCCTCGCTCGCATTGCCCTTTTTATGGCCATGTCCTTTTGCTTATCCTGGGCTGACTAATGACAAGCAGCCAGCCAGGCAGCAGCACGTTGCCAATTCCTGCCGGTTCCCGGTTGTCCCGGTCGTCCCGGTATCCCTTTGCCTTTTTGTCAACGACTCTTACTCATAGTCATTGGCCAGCTTAACCAACTACGTCTACGTCTCCGTCTCCGTCTCCGTCTTCGTCACAAACTCCATTTCGCATCTCCATTTCAGTTCCAGTTCTTTGGCTTTAATGGCGTTTGTCTTCTTGCTGCCTGGTAAAAAGCCAACTTACAAGCGGCAGCAGAAGCAGCAACTACTACTCAGGGGCTGCACCCCAGACCCCGGCCAATGGGCGTGACAAGTGGCAAGGGCCAAAGCCCAGAGTCCAAGTCCAGAGGCAGGTGCGCATTTTATAACAAAGGCATAAATTATTTTCACTGTCAGCATTGCTTTCGGCATACTCGTCTGAACGGGGCCTGTAAATGGCATTTGCCTCGACTTATTGTTTGGCCTATTGATTTGAATTTGGCCAAAGTATTAGATAACTTATATAGTCCACATTTATCGATAGGCCAGTTCAGAGTGTGGGGAGTCAGGCAACTGGACGGGGCCACACGCTGCTTGCTTAATTGTTTTTCTTTGTTCATTTTTTTTTTTATTTTTGTTAGCTTGGTTTCCATAGAAAACATTTTGATGCGATTTATTTACATAGATTAATGGTATAAATATAGTTTTATATGGAATATTTAATGCTAGCTACATATTGCTTTGGGCAACAAGCAAAGTCCTGAGATAATTTTTAAGTAGAAGCTTATTTATTGATAATTATTATGTAAAAATAGAGATATTTAAATAGGAATTTTATAGAAGTAGACTTAACTCTCTCTCTTCAACATAATAATTTGTTTCGTCTCAAATGATCAATATTTATCTAATTCTATCCAATTATAAAGTAATACGTTATTTGCAGAGAAATATATGTATTTAAATTAACTAAATACATTTAATTTTACTGGCTTTGATTTCATTTTTACAATAATGTGCCCTTGAGCACATTTAAAATTGATAAATATGGTATAATTGCTTTGCGTAAATGTCTGCTTATAGATATTGAGCTTATAAGAGCTTAGATCTCCATATTTGATACACTCTCGTATAGTATAGCGGGATCGAAAAAATTTAATATTGTCATAAATATAATGCATTGTATGGTTAGTGGTTACATATTTATACTTATCGATATCTTATCTAAACAGCGCTTTAGTTCAAATTTAAATTCAAGCTATTCCAAACCTTAAAAATAATTAAATAATCTGATTTTAATACCGCAGGCACTTTGCTCAGGGTATCTCCTGGTTGACAGCTTCCGACTCTTTTACATGTTTCTTTTCTATTCCCATTTTCGACACGTGTCAATTAAAGCGTATACTTGACTGTTTATTATGTTAATTGACAGACTCTCATCAAATTCTAAAATTACAAATTTAAATGAAATTTGCTTTTTTTGATGAATGTTGAATAATAGCGAAACAATTGTCACCTCACCATGACTAATAATTTGTTAATTCGCATCATTCAAGTACTATATAAGAAACGAGGCGAGCAGGGGAGAGCTTTGACAATTCGGTTGATTATTTAATAATGACCTTGCCAAAAATCTGCAATTGCCAGTTAGTTCGAAATTGGAGAGCAACAAATTGTTTAAATCAACTGCGGATTTGTTGGCCAAAATTGGTGTAAAGTGTGCACGACAAATTATAATTTTTGTCCAGCTGAATAATGTAGACAAAGGCTTAAACAAAAGCTGAAATTGTCAGCATACACACACGGACACACACACACACACACATACACACAATAAATAAATAATTGATCTGCTGTTGTTTAAGCAGAAAACTAATTGTGCTTGACCATTGTGTGAGTATGTGTGCACACTCATGTTTATGTTTTTGTGTGCACACACTTATTTTAGTTTACATTTAAGTGTGTGTGTGCCTGTTTACAATCCCAGTCGCCGGCGTTATAGATATAGCTGTTAATTTTAGCTGAAATATAATAACAATATCAAAAAAACGTTCCAGCCGGGAGTACTCGACTAGACCATGCTCTGTAAACTATTTACAAAAAGTTGTGCTAAGATACGAGTGTAAAAAAAATCAATAATTTATCTTTTTTAATTTGACTATTATCAATCAGAATTGTATCCTTATTAATTTGATAGTTATCAGGGTATTATATGCCTCATTTTCGCATTCAAGCTCAAATCACTGATTTAAATGAGGTCATAATGAATACAGCTGAAGAATTTATAGTAATATTTGTACTAAATATTATGCGATGTGTGCTTCAGTTCTAAAAGTAAAGCACATTGCCGTATGCATGCCCATTTCTATGGATCACAGGGTATTTAAAAGGGAAATTCGATTATTCAATAATTGAAGCATTGTGCGTAATCAAACACTGAAACAGTATTGCAAAAACTCTAATTGCTTCAATTGCACTTACTTGTGTGGGCTGTATATAAACAGCAGCTTTTTTAGCATGTCCACAACAGTCACAGTTGAAACCTCAGAGCAAAATGAAGCCAACTTTTTTCTCAGCAACTCTAGTCTTTGTCGTTATGTCGGTTGTCCAGGTAACGTGACGGCTTATCCTTCAGTGAAAACAGTTCATGTAGAGCTTCCACTATTCGGCCTTTGCAGTGCAATCCGAATTACCAGCAGATGATGAAACAGTGCTTGGACGAAACTAAGTTGACGGAGGCGGAGCTGAAGGCGTTCATGTCCAGTGGCATGAATAATAATCCCAATGAGAACCTCAAATGTTACGCCAAGTGCCTGATGGAGAAGCAAGGGCACCTGGTCAATGGACAATTCAACGCTGACGCTCTGCTCAATAGCCTCAAGGATGTGCCCCAAATGAAAGATAAAATGCCCGAAATCTCGTCCGGTGTGAATGCATGCAGGAACATAAAGGGCACCAATGATTGCGATACTGCATTCAAGATCTCCATGTGTCTAAAGGAACACAAGGCAATCGGCGGCCCACAATAAAATAACTTAATCAAGTTACTTCCCACATTCAATTCGGCAGGGCTCAGAGGTTTTAGATTAATGTTAAATAAATGTTTGTTTGTCTCTTTATATAATGCATTAAAGGAAATATTTTTGGTGTTGGGTTCTTGGCAAAAGAGAAAGTGCTTGAAAAAAGATTTTCAAATCTATATAAAATACTTTGCTCTGACTGATCGACTAAACGGTGAGACCAAAGCGAATGAGTTACTAGGAAAATCGTACGAAATTACGTTGCTAAGCGTCGGATTATAGAGTCGGAGGTCACCGGTTCAAATCAAAGCAGCAAATTCTTGTGTTTATTTAATTAGACAATTTAAGCAGCTTTCTAGCACTATTTAGCAACATTATTAATTCGACTCAAGAAGCGCTGTTCAAATTCTTCTAGCAGTTGATAAGTTATGAAAAAATCTCAATTATTTTACTTTTATTTTAAAACTACTAAAGAATTTGATGCACAGAGAACTCTTCACTCCATAGATGTGACAGATATCTACCTGTAAGTAAATAATTCCCAATACCAAATTTTGTATTTGCTTATCTTAAATGTAATCGATGAGATTGTATTCTGCGATCAAAACATTCAGAGTGCAAGGTGTGTTCCAAAAACGTTCCTGGGGCCAAGCCCAGCGCATCCTAGAGAGATGACAAGCCAGACAACACAGCCCAGACAATTCCACTGACCAGAGACATTTATACCTCCAATAAAAGTTGCTGGTAGTAAGCAGCAGATGAAGATGGTCCCAAGTGGAATATGCCTCATGTGATTTATCAAGAGTCGCTTGAGAGCGCGCACGCACGGAGTTCTAGGAAGCAGCCATTGACAACCTGTTTCCTACAAGACGACAGCGCGATGTTGTCTACGAATATCATTTGTCAATTTTAATAAGTTTAAAATCAAGATAATTAAAACAACGCACAAAGCGCATGGGGGAGTGGGGGCTGGGTGACTGGAGGTAGTAATGCGGGACATTGTAGCTGGAGAACCTGGTCATGGCCGTGGGCAATGGGATATGGCAATCCTTTCCATTTTCTTTGGAACATTGTGACACCAATTACCGCTAATAAATCATTTTCACATGTGCGTGTGTGTGCCCCGCACCCGCGCTCTCTCCCGCTCTCTCTCTCTCTCACTCTCTCTCTCTCTCCATAACATATGAGCTGCGCTTAATGGGCTACAAGCAACTGCGTTGGATTGGAGTGTTGTGTGAAGGGGGTAGAGAGAGGGGGGTTTTGGACCAATGTAACCATAGAAGATGTAACATAAATCAACGCCGCCAGCCTGCAACGCGCAGTTCATTGCACTTGCAATGGGGTTGAGATGTTGCTGCAGATGACGAAGCTGAAGGGGCGGGAGGGGGTTTTGTGCTCCGCAGGTTGACAAGCCCGGGCGACATGAGACAACGAAATTTTGTACGCGTGTGTTAAAAAAACTGAAGAAGAAAAGAAAGCCAAGAAATTCTTTGAAGGACAGTGAACGACCCAAAGCCAATGACAATTTGGAAAAAAGACATTCGAGCGGAGTACGCTGCGGCTCAAGCTGAGCTACTTTGAATTGAAAGGAAAGGTCGGGTCGTAGTTGGAGTTGAAGTTAGGCCCAGCCCAGTCCAGGCCAGGCGGTAGCCATAGCAGCCGTATGCATACAAATTTGTTGCGCCGCCCTCTCCGTGCCGCCCACCACAACCTGGACAGAGCGGCAGTTGAAATTGTGCAGCTTGGCCATGCATATAATGGCTTGGCCTTTTATCAACTAACAAATACAGGCAACAACAAGAGGAACAAAAAGAAACTTTGACGATGGATGACTACAGTCGTTGCCTGCACTGGAAAACTCAATTTGAATATTGTGAAACTGAAAAAAAAAAGAAAGAATATGGAGATGTTGTCTTCGTGATGCCACTGAATATATACCCTTGCAGACTTGAAGACATAGATATAGGATACATATAAATATTGGATGTAGATATAGAAGTAGGATGCAGATATAGATACAAGATATAGATATAGATATAGATATAGATATAGATATAGATATAGATATAGATATAGATATAGATATAGATATAGATATATATAGATATAGATATAGATATAGATATAGATATAGATATAGATATAGATATAGATATAGATATAGATATAGATATAGATATAGATATAGATATAGATATAGATATAGATATAGATATAGATATAGATATAGATATAGATATAGATATAGATATAGATATAGATGCAACAGAAGGACGAAATTACTTTATTCTATATCCATGTGTTACACATTTGGTGACATAATTAAAATACCCTATGCAAGGGTAGACGGGTACCCTATGCAACCAAAGATCCAAGCAGCAAGACTTGAGTCCAAGACGCAGAAGAAGATGGCAGCAGCAGCAGCAGTAGAAGAATATGAACAAGAAGAAGCGCTCATGTGCCACATGATGAAATGCAGTCAAGTTAAAAAGTGTCACTTGAGTTATGAGTTCATTGTTTGTACGTAGTTACGGTGCCCAGCAGGAGAGGGTGTGCAGTGTGGTGCGGTGTGGCGTGTGGTGGGGTGTGCTGTGGTGTTAGCTGGGCTAAAGTCTGCCTTTCAATGGGATATATTGTAAAAGTTGCTGTTGATTTGTTTTTAGGCTTTTGTTCAGCTTCGTCGAAAGGGTTGATGCATCTGCACAGGGCGGTTGCTTCGACTTGCGATTTGCCTCTCAATGGTTGCCAGTGGAGACCAAAGTGCTGCTGAATGACTTGGCAAAAATATTGCCAAGAATTTAAAACAGTTGTTGTTTATGGTGATGAGTAGTATACTATGCAAAGACGGGCCATATATCTTTTGAAACTATTTTTGATGAGCGAAAGGAATGTTTTTAAAATGATTTGAATATATTATTTATTTTATATAAATATGCAGTTTTTATTAAGCTACATTTTCGTTTCAGAACATGTTCAAGTTATAATCTAATAGAACATTTAAAATATTGCCTATAAAAGGAATCTTGGAATCTTATGTGAGTACAGATTTTATATTTATATTACATTTTTGAGTTTTTTTGTTATTTATATAATAATGTTTACTTTTCGATATATTTAATATTTATTTAATGCTATATGCGTTAAATATTTATATATTTAGTCCACACTTGTCCTTTTTGGAGTAAGACTCTTATTTTTATCGCTTTAGTAAGCATTGGCATAAATAGCTCGAACTTTAGGGTTCGAGCTCGCCGCAAGACAGAATATGTACATTTGCATTTTTTTTGTTGTTATATACATCCTTTGTAGGTATTTTAACTATCAAAAGTTCCTATTAGCAAGCTCTCTAGGAAACTCCCTTCTACCGCTTTATAGTATTTATGTATCCAAGCAAACATCGTTTGAGGTATGGTTTTTCGAATTCTCACGACTTTATTATTTTCCTGTTGCCAGCAGTTTTGCATGTTACCGATTGCTAGCTCTCAGAGCTAGATCTAGACCCACCTTAACCTAACATTATATTCATAAATCAACTTTGGTGCTGCTGTTTCGGCTGCTGCCTGCGCTCAAAGACCATGCACAGCAAATTGTTAACATCCGGGTAATTTGAATAAAATTGTGTTTATCACTCGCGACGCGCGAGCTCTTGAATTTTTGGTATATAAAAATAGACAACGGGGGCGAGCAATTAAAACTCAGTATTTGGGTTTTATTTTTTTTGGGTATATATTTAGGCGCGCTTAATTATAGCAAGTCGGTTCAAAAAGTAGGCGTCTATAATGAAGGTATTGAAAAGGCGGTGACATGCAACCGATAATTAAATTTTTAAACTAAACAGAGACTGGGAAGCAGACCGACACACACACACACACACACAGGCAGACACAATTCCCACATAATAAGGATTTAGCAATAAAAACTTTTTAGGTGTTGCACCTATGCATATGTAAATTTCCACCAGGGGTCGGTGCAACATTTCGTGTTCGTGCATCTTGAGCGGGCAGCGCGGGAAAAACAGTACCCAGTTCGCCTAGTTCTACAGGTCACAGTTCCCAGTTGCCAGTTCCGTTACTTTTCATTGAACGTAGCAAACGTGTACCCGCACATAATGTGGAAAAACACAAAACTAAAAGTGTCAAACGTCTGCCCGGCCAACCCCTGCCACAGATCTAAGCCCCATCCCCCCTTGCGCGCGCTGACGCCTTCTGCATTTGGTTTCTAATTTGGGCGCACGCTCCGACTGCAAGAGAGGAAACAACAAAAGGGCCAAGTGTGCGAGTGACGAGTGGCATTGGGACGGGGGTGTGGGCTGGAGTTGCGGTGGTTGGGGGGAAAATGGCATTTCCGTTTTTCACACAAACATTCGAAAGGCAATTTTTCAAAATTGAAATTCATTTTATATGAAAGACGAAAGACCAAAGGACAGAGCAACAGCCACGCCTGTCTACGCGTCCATTATTTCTCATATCACCCAGCTCGTATCTATGGCAATGCATCGCCTAAATAAGATCGTTCAGTGTTGATAATGCTGGTATGCCAGCCAGCAAGTGTTGTAAATTGCGCCAAGGGGTGCACCGCAGAAGGGGCGACAATTGTCAAGCCAGCCAACAGCAGCTGCTGATAACTGGACGGACGCTGCTCGCTGTCTTATAGACCCATCTTCAAATTAGTTCCAGTTCTGTCACAAAAATAGCTAATTCTCTGCTCCAACAACGTATCAGCGTATTGAGATCTAACTAAAGCCAAATAATACTTTTATAAAGCATGTCACATGCCAACTTATTTAAAGATATATATCTTTTAATTGACAATTGATATAGTAGAAAATCAGCTTGGAATAAAATGAAAAATGTTATAACATTTTTCCATTACGTAAAATCTTTTGTTATTGTGATTTTTATATTCATAAAAATATTTGATAAATTATTATTATTATCTTCCTCTATAATAGTAAATATTTGTATATAACTATATAACCATTTATTTTATTTGATTTATATTTATACAAATGTTTATTTATGTTTTAATTATATTTATTTATTTTAATTGTGGTTTTATTTACTTTTATTATATATTTATTAATTTTTTTTATTAAGTTAAGTTGGAAAGCCTAAAG